TTTTTTTTTTTTTTTTTTTTAATTTTGAGTTAATTTCCAATCAGGCATTGGTAGGGCAGCCTTGCAAGAAGGGGCCATCTGCCCTCTCTTCCGTAGCTACTTCCTGAAGCGCGCAATCTAACTTGTGAGCTTTGACGTTGCGTGTTTCCTTTGATTGACGTGCAATCTGGCCAATCGAACCTAAAATAGGGCGGGACTTGTCGCCGAACATTCTCAGCCATTGAGCGGGGCTGGGTTGACGTAATGCGTAATGGTGTGAGGCTGAGCTGCACCGCGCTGCACGTCCATGTTCGGCATAGCCGGGACCAGCTCATAAAGGGTCAACAGCGGCCGAGACCCGGACAGCTGACGTCACAGGTGAGACGAGGGTGTTGACGTCACAGAGTGGGGTCACAGGTGAGACGTGGGGGAGGGGGTATGACCTAAACAAAAATCCATGACATGTACATACCCACCTACACGTCCATATCACAAGGCTGCGGGTAGATTAGATCGGCATGGATGGGCTAATGTGTCATACATGAGTGGAGATTGACACCAATGTAGTGTAGAATGGGACTATAGCGTCACGTTGTCACTGGACACCAACGGAGCCCTAAGTCCCCATTTACACTCCGTCCTCTGTGTGTCCCATCACTGATTACTGCTCCTGATCCGAGGATAGCAGAGCACACACTGATTACTCAGATCACAGGATGATGGGAGGCTCTGATGACCTGCTATATAGAGCTTTGTACACTTGTCTCCAATACAAGAAATTCAGTAATATTGTGACATGATATAAGCTCTTCCTTGTACGAATCTAAGGCTATTGTGTGTGTGTGTGTCCCTTTATTGTGTAGTACACATACCCGGCTCACCCAATGAGATGTACCCCTTAGATGTGCCGCTGCTCACATGCAGCGGTGACTAGTGTTTTTCCACCAACACCAGTCAATGCTAGGGCACGTAGAACACAATTGTTTTGTGCCCTGCTAACACCATAACACAGGTGTGATGTATGGTGGGCTACGGTAAAATGGGGACATACCGCAGCGTATGAATCAATTGTATACTCCTAGTAGACTTAAAGAGGAACTCCAGGAATCTAAAGTTAACTACCCCCATACTGCAAGGGTTAACTGCTCATTTCAAAGTAAGTAAAAAGTAAACATCTGTTCACCGCTACCACTCGGCAGACACTAGCCACACAGTAAAACGCTGTGTTTTACTGTGAAGCTGGTGTGAAGGAACCCTTTCATGTCATACTACACATAAAATCACTGCAGCAAATTAAAAATTCATGCATGTTTGTGTGTTAACATGGCTTTTCATGTGCGTTTTTTATCAACAGTGACATGCGTTTTAATAATCATCTGTTGTCGAGTTTTATAGTCCCGTGACCTAGAAGGGTTAAAATAACGAAAAAAATTTCTTTCCTTCCGTTGCTGTGCATTGCGTTAAACCTAAAATGCATACGTGCTGCATATAAATACATTTCAGATCTTCACAGCAATGTGGTGTGCAGGAGGCACATAGAAAACAATTGTGTTCTATGTGTCTATGCGGTGACCTGCATTGATCCGGAGTGGAAAAACGCAGGTCACTGCATGTGGTGTGAACGAGCCTTTAGTACTCGTTCACACCATGTACATTGAGCTGCACTTTTTTTCTGCACACCACCACACATGTGGGAATGATTGTATTCTATGTGCCATGTTCACATCATTGATGTGTGGTGGTGTGCAGAGGAACGCAGCTCAATGGGCATGGTGTGGCTAAGACCTTCAAGTGACTCTGTCACGGTATGTTTAAAACTGCTAACCGCAATACCTGCAGGAAGAAGAGGCTCTATACGTACCTTCCCAGCATCCCATGTCTTGAAGCGCTGCTATAATGCTCCTTCCCAGCATTCAACACTTCTGGGAGTGGGAATTCCTGCTGACCCCACTGTGTGCAGTGCTTCCTCTGCATGTGACAGGGAAATAGGCATTTGTCTTAAGCTGGCCATACACCTCTAGATTATCTGCAGATTTTCTATGGTCAGATGGAAAAAGTGCAACAGATTCCTCCATCTACGCTAAACTGTGTGGATGGAGGAATCTCCCACCTGGGCCAAGCTTCAGTATCTTGCTAGTCGGCCCCGCTGGCTCTCCAAAATACATGAACAATCTGATTGGATGCAGACATGTATAACTAATAAAATGGAATTACCTTCCTCAATTTAAAGGGGAACTCTGGGCTGGATCAAGATATGAAATGTGTGTCTTGCCAATTCGATATCCGTTAAGTAAAATGTGCATTCTACATATTTTGCTTGGGAGGGAAACACATTTGATATTTTGGGCCAGTCTGGAGTTCTGCTCTAAGTTCTTAATTTCAGAACTTGGCACCCAGGAGCTGCTGCCAGATTGTAACAGTATACTTGCACTTTATGGCAGACTTGCCTCTTAGCTTGCTCCTTCCGGGATCGACAGGTCCACACTTCCCATTGTCACTATTCTTAGCAGCGATTCCCAGCTGTCAAATGACAGCCGGGGCTTGCCAAGTAACGTATCAGCTGCTGTCAAAAGCAAAGCTACTGAACAGTGTTTTTTTTTTTTAATGCAATCTATTCCTATAAAACCCCTTAGTAACCCATAGTTAACTTTAATGAGTACTACTTAACTTTACCCCCCTTTTAATTTTTGCAAGACAATATCACCCAAAAAAAAGCCTTGTTTGTGCCAAAAATATCTTAAAAGCTTAGTCCACTTTTTACAAAAAGTATGGCATCAGCGTCTTGCAATTCACTGTACAGCAGAGCTCAGGCAGGAAGATGAAAAAGCAGCACAAGGAGCCACTGTGTTGTTTTGCAGGGCTTATGTGCTTACATTGGTCAGGCTGATATGACGAGGGAGCAGAGTGACCGAGAGATGAGCTTATTAATCACACTACTGTTTCTCTTTTCACTGTCTAGTCATGGGGGGCCTTAAAGAAGAGTAAGGGAAGTTTAGAACCCCAATTTGCTTTTTATTGCTGTCTGTGTTGGAGATTTTCCTTCACTTCCTGTTTGGGTAACAAAATTGTCAGTGGCACAGGAAGCGAGGGGGAACCTCCCTAAAGAGGACTACAAATCCGAGAGAGGTTCTTGCCTTTCCCAAAACTCCTGAAGCTTTGACTGGCGTTAAACTTTACCTCCCGTCCGCCGAACGTACAGAAACGGCCGGAGGGCAGCGGAGGGGCGTGTTAAAACGTCCTTTGTGCCTGCCCGCATGCACGCACGAGCGGGAAACCGCCAAGATTTGAAACAGCCAGGGATGGTTGTTTACATACAAGCAGTCCGGCGTCTGTGAAGATGCCCAATCACTTGTATGAGGTACCTTTCTGTGCCTCCTCTCGTTGTCGTCACCGCTGCCGCAATCCTGGGCGTCCGATCTGGGACCGGCAGTGTTGCTCTGTTCATGGCAGGGTCATAAAGTGAAAATAATGCAGCCACCATATGTACAGATTAGTAGTAAGCTGTTATATATAACATGTTTCTTCATGGGTTTAGGTACAATTTGATGTGTATATATGAATAACACACAGGTGTCAGCCAGTGGTATCTGTACCCAAGGGGATAATGTTGACAAGGTCTTCACCATAGAAGTGAACATTTGCATAATAGAGATCTCAGGGTGCAGATGAAGAAAGAGTCACATGACAATATGAATTTTGTGGCCGTTACAGATCTCTCTGCTTATTTTCTCTGGTGATTTGAAGCCGGATACACTGCTTGTCTGTACTGAAGCTGGCGATTCTGTCACTAGCTCCAGACGGAAAGTCAAGTGCACAACATTTGAGGTACAAATCACTTGGAATGTCAGCAACAAAAACACTAAAGAGATCAGTTCTGTAGCTGCTATTATTGCTGCTCCAAAATCAGCAGTGACACGGAGCGAACACTGTGCATGAACCTGGAGGTGGCAGCTTTTGTATCCAATTGGAGGATTACTAATCTGCACATTGGGTTATGTTGTGATGGGGCTGCGAATGCAGAAAGGCATCTAGGTCCCGTGTTTACAATCAGAATGCTCTGCAGTGGCAGAAACATTGAAAGCGAATGGCCAGCAGTGGCGTGAACAATGCATCCACTGTTCTGCTGAAATCCATGACACATACCAACTGCTTACATGCATGCATTGATCCTGGCATGTGGGGGGCACTTGGAGGCAGTCAAGTCCTTGCCAACCTCCCTTGTTTTAGTGTCCCTCAGAACATGGCCTAAAGCAGGGGTAGGCAACCTCAGCACTCCAGCTTTGGTGAAACTACAAATCCCAATCCCATCCCTTTGGAAGTCATGCCGGTGGCTGTCAGGGTCTTGCAATACCTCATGAGACTTGTAGTTCCACAGAAGGTGGAGAGACGGGTTGTTCATCCCCTGGCCTAAAACTTTGCAGTTTCAAAGGCAAATGTAATCCAAAACAGATCATAGAAAACCACCTACAAAGGCGACTTAAAAACAAAGCAGTTTAGTAAAAAACATATTTGGCTTCCTCAGCCGACTTCCAGGAGGTGCCGGTGACCTCACCTTGCCTCATCGTTGCTTCTTTGGATAGAATGCACTTCATTCCATTTCAGGGGTGCATTCCTGCTGGAGTTTGAGGGCCCAGCTATCCCAGAAGGCTACAGTGAGGCATGGTGACGTCACGTGTCTTCCAGGAGCATCAGAAGTCAGAGCTTTTATTATAATATGTTTACAGATGAAGGGTTAATTTTAAAGTGAATGCGTAGTCCATACAAAAAAGGTTTCCGATAGAGTGCTGATGGTTTAGAACCCCGGTATGGTTTGTATTGTCAGTGTGCCTCCCAGATTTCCAAACCATTGTCACCAAGACAGCAAGTGATGGGAAATCTGAAATTCTGTAGTTGTCACCGGAACAAGTGGTAAAGGTTCATTTTCAGGAACACAGCGTTTTGCTGACAACGGTCTATGAAGGGAATAACCCCTAAAAGATTTCCAGCTTCTGGGACAGGAAGTGAAAGGAAGTCTCCCCAGTGGGACATGGAGAGCAGAGAATGTACTGGCAGGGTTGTAACCCTTCCCTACTCACAACTGAAAAATACAAAAATTGGCCTTTTTATATAAAGTGTGTGACATTTGTTTATAGAGTTAGAGGCACCTATTTCCAGTAAGTGGACTAGTGCCAGGAACTTGTCCTGCTTGTGTACTGGTCATAGGCAGCAGATGAATTTAGGGGGTACTCTGGAAGTGGCCCCTAGTTTACAATACATAAGAGGTGCCTTGTGATGGTGCTATACTCGGGCAGATCACAGGGAAGTGTCAGTGTTAGGATCGGTTGCTATGTATTCGCCGGAATACTGTAGGTCACACGCCGTCAGTGAGTCTGTACGATCTAATTTAACCCCTTGCTAGGCGACACCGAGCCCCAGCGCCTCGGTCAGCCGGATGACATAATGCGGCCGTCCGGAGCCTATCGCTCCCAGAGTCACACGTCTGTCGCCTGTTTTGGTCCATTTTCATTCATTCCCCGGCGCCGGGCTCTGTTTAATCGAGGCTGGCTTCGCTCTTGCCTTGGAAACCGCTAGGCCTCAGTGTGGTGGGAGGGGCTAGCCTCTCAACCTAGCTCTGGCTGTTAGGTTTGGTGCGTGATTGACTAAGCATCGAGCCAGTGACGCGGAGAAGCGGCTGCCCGAGCAATAGGGGCGGAGCCTGGCCCGGGTTAGGTTGCGCCGTGTGTATCTGTATGGGGAGGAGAGAGCTCAGTGTGCAGCAGCATGTGTGTAACCGGGGGACTGCATGTGTATACTTGTGTAGTTTGTAAACATCCGATCCGGAAAGCAAGTAAGTGCACGAGGTGCCGGGTATTCCTATGTCACTGGGGGTCAATATGTGCATGTTCATGGAGGAGCACTCATGGGAGTATATAGTAATCGGAGGCACTAATGAATGATGGAAGGAAATCAGCAGCACCCGCGTCCTTGCTGGCGTATACAGCGATACATTCTATATATCTCACACCTCCACTTATGATCAGAACTGCATATATAGGAATCCACCTGCTTTACAGCATGGTTAGGTAAAATGTTATCCACATGTGAATGTACCTTCTATAATCATATATAGGTGTTAGATCAGGAAGTGCTGCTGCTATGGACATGGCCCCAGATGTGATTGTCAGGTTGGTATTGGCAGAAAGAACGTATGACTGACACCACTTGTCTGGGATCAATGGGGGGATCTGGTTAGTGTCACCTGGGTGTAGTGTGTAATCACCTCTGCACCCACTCTACTTATACAAACATTGGCTGCTGCTTGTGATTTATTAGCAATAGTCACATGATGTGGGACAGCTCTTTGTTGTTACATGGAAACCTTTTATAAATATCTATGATTGAAGTATATGATCCTTTTCTGGTCTCTGAAGTGCATCATGCTTTTGCTCATTTGTCTCACGTAGGGCAGCTCATTCATTTCATTGGGCCGCATGGCAAAGGAGCTCACGCACCTTTTGGAGCTTTGTGCATTTTTTTTTAACCCTGTGTTAATTGTGGTTCTTTGCATACAAAAACTGCACATCTTGCTTGGCAGGTTTGGGTTGCTGTTAAAGCAAGACTGGTTAAAAATGTTGATAACCCTTGTAGTAGAGCTCCCCCTGCAATACAAGGGTTTAGTGCCAGTTTTTGCCTAGGGTAAAAAAAAAGTTATACTTGCCCTATCCTCAGAGACGGCTGACTCTTATACGGGTCCCTGGAGCCTCTCTCCTCATCTGCTGCAGTGGCCTAAGGTCCCTAAATCATCATGTTCTATACACTGTGTATAGGACACGAGGACGCCAAGGGACATACCATCGCTGCAGCAGAGAATGAAACGGGCTAGAGGGAGCACTGTGACAGCCGAGCTGCTCTGAGGATTGGGCGAGTATCATTTTTGTTATTTTTGACCCTATGCAAAAACAAGCAGTCGACCCTTGCAGTGTAGGAGTAGCCCCACTGCAAGGGTTAATAACATTTTAAACTGAGTTGTTCTTTAACAATGAATGGCACTGCATGTGGCACACTGTGAATGAGGCACTTTTTTTTTCTTATGGTAACCACTGTTTATTAAGTTTAAGAAGTTCTGTTTAAAATTATTATTTTTTTGTGAAGAAGGGATATAGACTTCCTTAGGTTTTTATTAGTGGTCCCAGGTCCCCTGGCTTCTTGCCAAGATGCCTGTTTTTCAGTAAAATAAGGAAAGGGTAAAGTATACAGGTATCTTCTTGTTCAGTATGCCCTGCAGGCATAGGAAGTGAGGTGAAACTTCCCCAGCAGGCTGCTGGATAGCGGTAAAATCTTGACAAAATCACTACCTCTTCCCAAGTTCTGCAATCTGCAGTTTGAACTATAAATATTGTGAAGCATTTGGCAAAATAGTTCTGCTTTCTTGTTTATTTTATCCTTTTAAGTACTTGAAGGCCTTTACCTAACAAATGTAGCTGCAACCCAAAGTAATATACATGAAAAGGTGGAGGAACTGGAGAAGCATAAAAGCAGACGCAGAGAAATGATGTTAGAGTATTTGAAAAAGATGACTATAAGCCAATTTAAAGTAGAACTGTGCCCAGGCTTTGGACATTCTAATATTTACACGTCGGTAAAGAGACACTGTCATATTATCCATGCAGTGCAAAGTGACTGTGTCTCTGGACAGGCCCCAACCCACTTTTCCTCCCCTTACTAGTGATCCCTTGCTGCTCCTTCCTCCTCTGCAGTCCCAATACCCAGAACTTCCAGGTATGGAGAAGCATGTGACCACCTCCCCCGTGACATTGCTTAGGTCTAGCAGATAATCACTAGGCACTGTCAGATGACTGGAACAGTGATATCGCTGCTTTCCTGGGCTGCCTGGAGGAATTTGAAATGAAGAAAGAAAAAATGCCATCACTTTCTCTGGGTAGTTCAGCTCCCCCCTACCAACAGTGCGTTGGCAACATTCTGCCTCCCTTTTTAAAGTGTGTAAACAACTGCGTTAGTAGAAGGAAAGGCTAAAATAACCCATGTTGAAATGTTGCCTCTCCCCATGCTCGTATGCATGCTGCACACTGTTTGTAAGGAATCTCTGTGTAAATACTTCTTTAACAATGTTTTCTTTCTGAGTGGCCATGTGACTGCAAAGCTCTAGCTCCTCTGTGTTAATGTGGGGGGCTGAATTACACAGAGCTGTGATATCACCCGCCAGCTTCCACTGCTCCTCTGTTGTTGGCGGGGCAGTGTTCCCTCCCACGAGCTGCAGCAACAGCCACTTATTGATGCAGAGGAGCAGAGGCTTTGGGGTCACATGACTGCTGTGAAGAAGATGAAGAAAGGTATTCATCCTGACATCTCTTACAAACAGCATGCGACATGTATATGAGCAGTGGGGAGCCCAGGGGTTATTTTAGCCTGCCTATAGGCCTGCTTTTCTCTGCCTTCCCAGCACACTGCTTAGCATTTGCATTGGCTTTGTTTTTGGCCAGCATTATACTACAGGGAAATTTAATAGACCTTAATTATGGTACATGATCATAATACATGAGGCATGGTGGCCAACTTACTAGATAAAGAGGGCCTCAAGTTTGGCCCCTGACATCCCCAAGGGCTGCACATAATAATATTTGGTATATATTACAAAAGGCGATCAGTGACTGCAGACTTAAGGCAGGTATACACGGTTCAAAATTCCCTGCGTTAGTGCCATTGTCGGAGCCTTTCCGACCGGCATCCCTTGATCAGCTAATCGAAGGACCACGATTTAAATTGTTGGCCAGCTTGCTGTTAAGGTGCCCATACACCTTACCATTATCTGCAGATTTTCTGTGGTCAGATGGAAAAGGTGCAACAGATTGGCCCAGGTGGAGATTACTCCATCCACACAGTTAAGTGTAGATGGAGGAATCTGTTGCACCTTTTCCATCTGACCACCGAAAATCTGCAGATAAATTGTAAGGTGTATGTGCAGCTTTAAGGTGCCCATACACTGCTCGATTCTCGTACGAGAATCGAGCAGTGTGAACGAAGACGTGCGACCGTTTCTACTGTACGGTCGCACATCTTTTGTCTAGGGAGCACGCTAGAAAACCAACCAAAAATCGTACGATTTTCGGCTGGTTTGAACGGTGCTCGGGAGACAAATGCCGAACGGGCCGGTGTGCGCACACTGCCCGTTCAGCATTGCGGTCATCGGAAGCCCGCCCCTCAGCGGGGTGGGCTTGCGATGATCGAGAGTACGATCTGCCTGTCCAAGATGGGCAGATCGTACGTTTTTTTTATTACTTTACAACCATCGCAAGACTAAGGTCTTGCGATGGTTGTAAAGTGCATGGCCACCTTTAGACCGCTCCCTGGAGCCTCTCTTCCCCTCCGCTCTAGTGTATAGGAAGCAAGTACACAGAGGGACATTCCATCGCTGGAGCAGAGACAGCTGGCCAACTCAGAGGCTCAAGTGAGTATAAGGCTGGGCACACACCTTACAACCATCGCAAGACTTTTGTCTTGCGATGGTTGTAAGGTACTTAAAAAAACGTACGATCTGCCTATCTTGCATAGGCAGATCGTGCTTGCGATGATCGCAAGCCACGCCCCCTGAGGGGCGGGCTTCCGATGACCGCAATGCCGAATGGGCAGTGTGCCCTTGCGCACACCGGCCCGTACGGCTGTTATTGTACGGGCATGCCACGAACCCGCCGAACGTCGTATGATGCTCGGCGAGTTTTCGAACATGTCCATAAGTTCAAAGTCGTGCAACCTTACAGTAGTAGAGGTCGCACGGCTTCCACACACCTTACGATAATCGTACGATCGCAGGATTTCCCGCGATTATCGTACGATTATCGTAAGGTGTGTGGGGACCTTAAGTTTGATTTTCCTCCCTAGACCAAAATGAGCACTTAACCCTTGCAGTGCAGGTTGATCCCCACTGTAAGGGTTAATAATTAAAAAAAAATCCCTGGAGTTCTACTTTAGGGCTGGGTTCAAATTGTTGTGCTGTGAAAATGCATGTTGATGCCCTGTAGTGCCATTCATTGTTAAAGATACCCTAATGCACAGTGTTCATGGGTTGCAGCACACCACCACCCACGGGAATGCACTGCCATGCGTTGATGCACTTAGTTACAAAAAATAGTACATGCACCTTTTTGATGTAAACCCATCCCAAATTTTCTGTTGTAGGGAGTGGTATGAAGCTAGAGTGTTAAATGCAATAACTTTATCAGAAGTGATACTAATCTGTTTTTTTTTTTTTTCTTTGTAGACTGTGATCCTGGCTTTGTTCATTGTTTCATCGTCCCGTGACATTGAGTGACTAAGGTCCATTCTCATTTGCTCTGTGTCCCAGGGGAAGGCTCCTGGCCTTCCCCACTGTGTCTTTTGTTTTGGAAAGGCCAAATATGGCGGACCCAATAATGGACCTGTTTGATGACCCAAACCTATTTGGGTTGGATTCCCTAACTAGTGACTCATTTACCAGAGATGGACCAGATACTATGGATGAAGCTCTTGGCTTAGGCAATGTTCTAGAGCCTCTAGAACAGCTTGTAACAGTCAGAGGACCTGAACAAGCAATTCCAGATGTGAATGAGCAGCGAATACAACCTCATGTGCTGCCACAGAATCCTGTTCCTATTCTTCAACCAGAACTGGTGCTTCCTTCTCAATTAACCATCAGTCAGGAACCTCTAAATCAAGGAAACCCTTTTATGGGCACCCCGTTGACTGTAACTACCGCAGCAACTACAACAGCAGCTCCTTCTGCACCTAAAATTATGATTTTAAAGGCGCCACCAGGGATGACGGTTAGTGGTGTCCCTGTGTCACAAATCCAAACTCTGACTACTGGACAGACAGCTAATGGAGGCAAAGTGACTATTGCTAAGGTGCTTACAGGAACCCAGCTGAGACCTGGCGTATCAATTGTATCTGGAAATACAGTACTAGCCAAAGTTCCAAGTCCAGCGGGACAACCTGGTGCAATCAGACCCGTTCGGCAGTTATTGCTACAACCAATGCGCACATCAGCAACTTCGGCTGGTATTGATGGCAACACAGGCATCAAACCCGCAGTCACCTTGACATCCGCTCCTCAGCAGGTAAAATAAACGTTTATACACTTTACTATATAGAGGTTTCGTGTTTTGGCTGTCTTTGTTTTTCGTTTTGTCTTTAATTATGCAGGTAGATGCAGATAACTAAACCTAAGAACAAACATTTTATATATTGCAACTTACCAGTCCTCTGATGTGGTGGATGTATTTGTATCATTTTTTCATAACTTGAAGGAACATTTTCAGTCCCAACTTAAAAATAAGTATCGAGAGTACGATCTGCCTGTCCAAGATGGGCAGATCGTACGTTTTTTTTCTGTTACTGTTCAGGTATTCTGACAGCGGCCGGGGTCCACTGTCGGAATACAATGCAAACAGCAGGGGATTCCTCCATCCATGCCCGTAAGCGATGATGGAGGAATCTGTTATATTTTCTTTGTTCAGCCCACAGGCTGAATGAAGAAAATATAACCGTGTATGTATACCCAGCTTTAGTCAGACATGTACAAGCTGGGTAGAGATAAAAAATGGTGCATTATGGCTGGGCATAAGCTATAGACCCCCTTCCTACTCATGTTGAGTATTGCCACATGCGCCAGAGTGAGAACAATAATTCTAGGGCCAATATTTGTGGTTAATTCTAAACTGATGACATGTACAGACTTAAATCATTAATCTTGTAGACTTTGCAAAGGCGTTTGTAATCGAACCGTTTCTGGGGTTTTTGCAAACTAAGGTCGATGGGCATTGTAAATGTACATGGCTAGTAAACTGGTTGGAGGACCGCATCCAGAGGGTACTGATAAACAGCTCATTCTCTACATCAGGGGTTTTCAATCTGTGTAACCTCAGGACCCAAATTTGTCCTTGGTCATTAAGCCGCGACCCAAGTTGCACCACATTGGAACACGGCTTTGCGAAACAGCATATTCCGGTGCAAGCGATCAATTTGTGGGCGAGAGGTGTGTTTTGGGGTGCCATTCAAATTAATGGCAACGCAATGCACCTCCAGAACAAACAGTAGGTGCGATTGCATGGTAGTTTGCGATTTTAAAGCGCTGACAGACGCACACAAACAACCACAGACACAATCTCGCACACTTGCAGACCTTCTCTCATACACACTCCCGAAAAATTATAGGGGTTTAGTGTGGCCGTACGTGCATTGCTTGTACAGCTCTCCTGCACTCCCTGTAGAGGTGCCGGGAGCCAGAAGGTGACGTCACGCGAGGGAGCTGGAATGAATGAATGAATGAATGAATGAATGAATGAATGAATGAACGAACGCACGGAGCGCCCTTGCGGTCATACCCCCAGCCCACCCCATCTTAAGCTGACACTCGGCGCCAGGCAGCATATTTTGATTGGCTGCTTGGCATGAGAACTGACAGTGCTACGCTCACCTAGTGCAGTGGAAGGCATGCGGCGACACACTGAACATGGGGTCACGACCCACCAGTTGAGAACCATGGCTCTAAATTATCCAAAGTGTGAGTGGAGTGCCCCAGTCCTGGGGTCACTTCTGTTTATCCTATTCATAAATGATATAAAGGTGGGAATAAATGGCTCACTCCCAGTGTTTGCTGATAATACATAGTTATGCAGGGAAATATGTTTGTAACAAGATATAGAATCCATGCAGCCCTTAGTAAAATTGAGGAGTTGGCAGTGACGTGGCAGATGAGTTTTAATCTAGATAAATGTAAAGTCATACACTTGAGAGCTAAGAACATGCATGGAGAATACACTTTGGGAGGAGTTTATCTAGGGACATTTGAGATGGAGAAGGATCTTGGGGTCCATATAGACCACAGAATTGACAATGGCATGTATTGCCAAGCTGCAACCAATAAAGAGCATAGAATACTAACTAAAAGAGGGATTTATTCTTGGGATAGAAATAATTTTTTACCACTTTACACTACACTGATAAGGCCAAATCTTGAGTAAATGGTTAAATTTTGGTCGCCAATCCTTAGGCAAGATGTCCATGAGCTAGAGAAAGTTCAGAGAAGGGCAACTAAATAATAAGGGGTATAGTGGGTCAGAGTTATCGAGAACGCTTACAAAAATTAGAATTGCTCTCTTTAGAGAATTGACACTTTCAGAGGTGACTCGCTCCCAATTTACAAATTCCTCAATGGGGACAACAGTATTGGGAATGCACTACTTAACGTAAGAACTTTGAGGAAGAGGCGGGGGCACAATAAGTTGATAGAGGGGACGCTATATAATCTTACAGGAGAACTATGGGGTTAGGGCTTTTCCCCATAATTCTCCTAAGGGTTACGGCAGAACACAAACTAGCATTCTCCCGTGACCCAAAGCTCAGTATACCGCGAGCTACAGCTCGCAGTATACTGAGGCGCCGCAGCCGAGACGGATCCCGACAATACTGCCTGGATCCACCCAGCTGCTGGATTGACAGCTGGATCTGCCTATCCAGAGGCAGAGCCAGCTGTGCCGCCCCATCCCCTGTCCGTTTCTCCAGTCAGCGCTGGAGGATCGGACAGGGGAGGGGGGTAATCCCTGAAGGGAGCAGTGAATGACAGTCACGGCTCTCTGTAGGGATAGCTCGACAAGTGAGCGAGCGACGGTATGTGTTCGCTCACTTCCCGATCTACTGAGCTGACCTGTGACAGTTTCATTGTCACAGGTGGGCTCAGATTATGAGGCTGAGTGAAAATCTCCTCATAATTCTCCTTTTTAAGGTGCTTAAGGGGTGTTTTCCTTTTGAGAGTGGTAAAAATGTGGAATTCACTTCCACAGATAGCTGTATCAGTGGAGAACATAAACAGCTTCAAAAAACCACTTGGATTTTATTGCCTCGGCACTTGCCCTATCTTTGGGGGGACTGGGTGAATGGGCCAGTCAGGCTAAACAGTGGGAGCTATCACTTTTGCATAGGCTGCATTGGTGCCTTTTTCTTCCATGCCTCTGGCTATCTAACCCTCACCTGCTGCCTGCTAACATGTCTGATGCTAGACATGGGGGGGTGACCCAAGCTCAATTTCCATTAACTGCTCCGGAGTTGCTTGTAGTGCACCTGCTAATGGCTCTGACATCTGCAGCTTGCGGTCATCTCGCCCTCTGCTCTGCTCCTTCCCTGGAGTCCTTTTTAGCTGATCTTCACCACAGTCATGCAAGATTTTATGGCCCTAATGACCCAGTTATTTTCAAAATCTGATTGCTGGGGCCACAGGTATTCTCCAGTGCCCTATCCTTAAGATTTTATATCCGATTTGCCTGTAGTCATAGCAGCTTCTGAGCCATTGTCCGCAAAGACTCTGTGTGGCTATAGTCCTCTATGGATAAGCTTACCCCTGAGGATTGCCCGCCTACCGCTATTACTCCCAAATTAAAGGAGACTGCTACGCCTCTTTTTGATGCAGTGTGCCCCACTACAGAATCAGCCTGTTTCGACCAGTGCTGTCTCCAGCCTTGAAGGCCATAGAGACTTTCCTTTTGCACACGCTTTTCCAACTGTTTTTCTATGGAGATTTGGAAGCATCTTGATACCCCCCCCCTATACTAAGCACGTATTACACTTAAATCTGTTTGGTGAAGAAGCGGTCCTTTCCCTCTGTGGATCCAGCCGTGTCCTATCTTAACAAGATGTTTACTATAGGGCTGCAACAACTAATCAATTGGCAACAATTCTCATCATGGATTAGTTGCTTTTCGATTAGTTGCCGCCGCTCTGCTCCTCATTCTCCTGCTGCACTCCCCGCCTGTGTCCGCAGAGGCAGCGGGGATACAGACCACTGCAGCCGGCACCAGCGGTGAGGAGAGAACGCTGTGGCTGCATTTCCTCGCTGCCCTCCGCCCCGCACCTCTGCTGCTGTCCCCCCGTACCTCCTCTGCATCTAGAGGCTGGGAGCCATGCCTTCTATTGGATATTTTAAAATGCAGTAGCAGGGTGGCTATTGCACCTGCCTGCTGTCAATCAGCAGAGGAGGACCTGATGGAGACCTTTCTCCTTCAGGTCCCTCTTCTGCTGATTGACAGCAGGCAGTGGGCGGGTGCAATTGGCTATTGCAATTTGAAATATCCAATAGCAGGCTGGCTCTCACTTCGCGATCTACTAAGCCGACCTGTGACAGTCTCATTGTCACAGGTCGGCTAGAACTAGGAGGTGAGTGAAAAGCACTCGCTTCATAGTTCTCCTTTTAGGCTGGGTTCCCACCTAGGCATTTGAAATATGCGTGTATGACGCGCGTTTTGCGGTGCATGTTTTAACCGCAATTTGCAGCCCACAAAACGCGCATCAAACGCGCGTTTATGAGGTCTATCCGGCTGTATCCTAATGGATACGCGCGGTAATACGCCCCAAAGAAGCTCCTGTACTTCTTTGGGCGTAGGGCGTTTTTCAGCACGTTCCGACACGCTGAAATACGCCCAAGTGAGAACCATGCCCATAGGAAATAATGGGATTTCACTTGCTGGGCGTTTTACAGCGCGTCGATCAGCGCTGTAAAACGCCCAGGTGTGAACCCGGCCTTAATGGCTCTAAAAATTATTGCTCTCACTCCGTTTGCGGCAATATGCGCGGCACGTAGGCGCACCTGACGCATATATGCGTGTGTATGTGGGGGGCGCGGACTTAAAAAAAATTAATGTTATGCTTCTTTATTTTTTTTTTTTATCAATCTTTCATTTTTGTATTACTTCTTTTTTTTTTTTTTCTTTTTTCATACAACTTTACTGCTATTACATGGGGGGCTAAGAAGCCCCCTATGGGATAGCCAATTTACATGACAGGTCCTCTTTA